TACGTTAGTTCGCGGTCAACTGTCGTTATTTTTTCTTTTGATTTTACGTGTCGAATCATCGTGAAAGACTCTTCCACAAACATTTTTAGCCTGAAAAGTCTGAATTTAACATACCTCGATGTATTTTGTGTCTTGACTCCTTACTTTCAATCGTCTGATCGTACTAAGAATTGAAGCTGACACATACAGCCTCGTTTTCAAACGTGGAAGTGAGATCGACGCTAAAAGCGTCGTATTGGGATCCCTCTATAGGCCTACCGGTAAGATCGGTTATGGGGGGGGGACTGGCTGGTGACTCACAGACCACGGGGTCCAGTCTGAGGTGGCTGCTCTGTTGTCAGTTTGCAGCACATTAAATGTCACGACGTAACCTCAGCTGCTCGCTCCCTTTCCAAATCTTTCTCATCGAAATGATGGTTCCGCGATGTTCCTTGCCCCATGAATCATTTTAACAATGTCAAGAGTGTCCTTTTGAAGACATTGTGTTGTGCAAGAATGTCTACAATGAAAAGCTTAATAATAAGCATACAACGTGTTGTGGCGCATAGCAGCGTGTGCATACACCACAAAACAAGATAAAGAAATTTCTGTACATGTACCGTCTTCGAGGCAAAATTTTGTACTTTAATCGGTTCGTATTCTGGACAAATTCTTGTTTTCCTTCAGGATATTATCAAAGAACGGGAACGTATTATCTCCACGCATATCATTTTTTCCCACGTACGTACGTGAAAGTTTCACGTCAAGAGCAAGTTCCACTACCTATGGGCCTCGGTGCTTGTTTCACACGGATCGGGATCGCAATCGTGATCCAAAAGCTGGTTAGCGCTATCGAGTAGGTAGGTTCTGGTGTCAGTGAACCAGCGACGGATAATCGCGATCCGGGTCTTTGTGAAACAAACAGGCCCATAGGTAGTGGAACTTGTTCGTGACATGAAACTATCACGTACGTACGTGAATATCACGCACGTACGTGAAAACACGTACGTGATATACGTGAAACTATCTCATATACAATACAAACTATCATGTACATACGCGAAAAAAAATTATATGCGTGGTGGTAATACGTTTCCGTATGAAAGCGTACACGGGATGCCCCTGAGTTCAAGGTTAATAGACTGCACTGTTATATATCGTATATCTATCGTCTATCGTATTTATTATATCTATAGTCATAATTATTGTCTATCGTCACCACTACTGTGCAGTAACTTTGCCAGTTTAAATAGAATTCGATAAGTGTTCTTGATACATCTATTGGATGCTTTCAAATTTGGGTATAGTGTCAACTTTCCACAAACACGAGCACAACATCATGACTAATATGATATCAAACCGAGTTCAGATGGCGCATCTGAATGCATCAGATGGTGCATCAAAATGAAACTGGAGTCTTTGTTTTTCCTCATCTCATTTCTTTGATCGTTTACACCCTTCTCAAGTATAAACTAGCCAAGCTATTAGTTTAAAAGCGCTTTATTTCTCCCGAATCACAAGTTGATTTTGTTCGTGTGCTAAGAAACATATACATCTAAGCTGTTTTCAACGGGTTTTGAAGACTGCACAGCAGGATAGAAGTAATCATGTGTCTGTAAATCACATTTAAAAAGAACGTTCCTGGACATTTTCACGCGCTCTTATTAGTTTAGATTATATCCATGGGTAACCATTGAGGGGTAGTCTGGTCTGCTCTCCTATTGTATTAATCATCTATTTCATCTGGTATTTACCTAGCATTAATGTATTCATCTGTAGCTTCATGTATACAGTGTGTATATTTAATCTCAGACATATGTGATCCAAATTTCCATGCATGACGTATGCCAAAATTTCAGACAAATCACTGTTCAAACAGAGTAAAGATTGCACCACAATTGATTAAAAAAACAGGCAAAGTTCAACAAGAAAAATTGAGTTTTTTCACTCACAAATCCTGTTTGTAATTGTTCTCGCTTTGTAATGTCAAATGTACTAAGATTAAAACATTGTTGGTACAGTTTACTTTAGGTATCGGCACGTTAGGTGTAAAGTTTAATGGAATGGCAAATAAAACAAAACGAACCTCAGGTCGAGTCAGGTTTGAAGCGAACAGAGAAAAGTACAGACCAAAGTGCTAGATGTTCAGCACTATAGGGCGTACCAGTAAAGGACCAGCCTTCACGCGTGTAAAAACACTGAACGTTATAGCATCGGGTCAGACCTGTTTTTACTTCCATTGAACTGTCGTCAGTTTCCATTTTTTTTACGCCTACTTCGCAATGGAAAGTCATACCAGCGTGAGGTCTTACTTGAAAATCTTCGTGTTATATGTGTGCACAGCTACAATATCCGAATGCACTCCAACACTCAGTACAAAAATGCTTTACTCTGGGCCCGAAGCGAGTGTCACTGTAGCAAACAAACCTTTCCGCATAAAGGGCACGGGTGCAATATCTCATCAGCAGCTAGAACCCACGGAAAGCCAACAAGATAACTACAGTTCTTGCGGGCAATTCTTTCAGAAGGCCATATGTAACGAGGCAAGTATTTATTACCGATCGGAAGCACTTGTGACGAGGTGATTCTTGTGCACACGGCAGAGTTCAAATCGAAAGCTTTACCTAAAACTTCATTTCCAAGTCGTGACATTATCATATCATTACCAAAGTATTTTGAAATAGTTCAGTAAATACACATTGCTCATAAGACTTGCAAAACAGGACGAAAATCAAACCAAATCCAAACATACAGAACAAGACAAACAATGTGTTTTGTTTTACAACCCCTCTTGTGTTAGTGTTTTCCAGAGAACGGCGGAACGTCCCGAGGGGGCACACCATTGCACAGCACACACATATTGCGGAATAATCTTAACTTCTCCGTCTCGACCAACGAACTGACTCGCATAAGCTCACTCCTCATCACTAAGCTTAGGGAGGGAACGTGCGCCTGGCAACAGTCCCCGCCCAGTCGGGTGCGAAGAACCGTGGCGGTGGGTGACGCAAAACCCTTCATGTTTCTCCAGGCAGTCTACAGCAAGTATGGCAAATCCGGAGTCATTAGTGAAGATCGTGAGTTTACAATTTGCCTAGCTTCGGAAATCAGTAATGATCTTGCATTAGTTAAATGACAGGAAATTTCAAAAATTAATTCCCTGACACAACGTCAGTTTTATACGAAGAATGTTGAAGACAATTTGTTTACAGTCATTTTTATTATTTAGCTACACAACTGCAAAGCTCCATGCAAAACGTTAAATTAACAGATTTGTAGACATTAACATTTGAAACCGAAATAATTATTGAATATATTGCATTTTGTTCAATTATTCAATTATATTTCGTTTTGGGAGAATGGAACTATATTCTGTTAAATAAAAATTTCCAAGAGGAAGGAGTAGGCCAGTATTAAAATAATCATCATCCAACTCCGTCAAGCTTGACTTGGCAAAACACAACCATGTTGACTACTTCTGAGAAGTATTTATTTTTGTCTTTTTTTCCTGACAGAATTCGGAATTTTACTTGAAGATCTAGGCATTGGGAAACTTTTACAGACGAACCACTCCAATTCCTCCGGTGATCATAGTGTGATACAACGGGTAAGGAATGAGTTGCTTGTCTAAATGGATTTTAATGCACGTAAGAATCGCTAACTGCAGTCACCGATAAACAATTTGTATTGTTTGTAAACTGTATACGGCCAAAGCTTCTGTCAGTCAATTCTACATGTGCAAAAAGACAATTCAAAGCTTGGTATAAATACGCAAATGCGGTTGGCGTGTAAAGTTCGACGGGTTGAATACTTTACAGTTTACTTTAAAAACTATGGTCTTAAACCTCCATGACATGGTAATGCTTTATAGTGCACGAGGAATTTCATTGCTTAGATGTAAAAAAAATTTCGTTTTACGTTGATAGCTTCTGGTGAATTGCAAAAAATACGAGAATTATTACGCCTGACCAAGTCTGAAATGCTTGTAAAAGAGAAAGGCACGCTGCATCTCCCAAAATCTTGCACATACGGATGCATGTTGGTTTTTAAACTTGAACTATAAAAAAACAAATTATTAAAATTATCCAAAAGGTGTTTCAAGAGATTTGTCTCCATCATTCAGAAACTTTCCTTGGAAGACGCTTTCTGAATCGTCCATTTCAGATTCAAACATACCGGTATGCATTAATGTAGGAAGATTAGCCAATGTCGCCATCTGTCCCATTATTTTAATGTAAAAACTATTTATCTGAGACCTTTTTTCATTCTTGTTAAATAGTGCTTCTTAGCCACCGAACTTATTGACATCTTTAACACAAGCGGGGGCATTCCAATGGAGAATTTTGCCTCAGTTTGCCCGTCTCTCATCCAGCAAATCACGCAAGGGTGCGTGATCCCAGTTACCCCACCAACGGAGTTGGATCTGAAAAGTAAGTTAAATACCGGCTACTCTTTCCGGTTAGCACACCTCTCTGTCAGTGCAAAATTCAAAGACTGACCTGATCGATTTTGTTTCCAAAGGTGGCAATTTAGTCACCTGTACATTCTTTATCGTCACACCAAACTGCCAGTTGAGAAATATGTCTGGCGAGGCATAGGTGTGTACATGTACTTTCTGGACATCCTTTTGATAGATCCATGAGACTGGTGACGTTTCTTAGAATTCGTGGAAAATGGTTTCAACTGGAGGTAGAGATTGTGCCGCATGCTTGATTCCGGAAAAGGGAAGATAACAATGAACGTTATCTAAAAAAACCCAAAATGATGTTATGCATAAACTTTCGTAGGCACGACAAAGGACCGCCCCCCATGTCGCCACAGGGCGTACGTAACGTTTATCATTGGTGAATAGTTTTGACAGACTTCGCCCTTCAAAGTAAAATGCTACCTGCAGTCTATTGTCATCCCATTGAGTTTCCCCAAAAACTTTGGTTTCAGTACGGGGTCTTTTCCCTTTTCTATGGACAGTGTATGGATGGGCTACCCTTGCCATGGCGTCTATTACGGTCCTATCTATGTTAGCGATGGTAGCCGTTCCAACCCACGGGTCCAGATTCTATGCTGCTGTCATGCAGTTTTTTGTCGCTCTAGCCGTTAGCTCGCTGTCCGGGGATGCCCTGCTGCATCTTCTACCTGAGGTCGGTGCCACTTTGTGATTTCACTCTAACACGATTCGCAACACGGGATGGAATTTTATACATAAGTCAAACCAGATTAAAGAGCACCTCTAAGGAAAACACGTTTTCTGTGATTTTATCTGTTAAAATAATTTAATATGGAAGCATCAAAATCGCCGAATGCATGCAGAGTCATTTGTCTTCAGAGCTCAATTATAACAAGCTTAACAGGTCTTTTTTCTGTTCATGCCAAAATGCAAATTCTGCACTTAGATTGCGTCATTCTGAAATAGAAAACGTGGGGAACCCTCGCCCTGTGTTCGTAGTGGACAATTCATTTGTGCACGCCAAACCATGGCCAAGGGTTTATCCATTATGAACACCGGGCGAGGGTTCCCCTCGTTTTCTATAATTTCTCGGAATGACGCAATCTACATTCAGAATTTGCATCTTGGCATGAACAGAAAAAAAGCTTTTTAAGCTTGTTACAGTTGAGCTCTGAAGACAAGACACTACATTCGATTTGGATGCTTCCATATTTATTTGAAAAGATGAAATCAGAGAAAACGTGTTTTCGTTAGAGGTGCTCTTTAAAGCAGGTTGACAAACATTGTGCCGGCAATAAGCCGCCTGTACTGTATCCAAGGAAAGAGTAATCGTTATGCAGAACAACGAACCAAATAACAATGCCAGCCAGCTTGAAGCAAGATGATAAGTGCTTGTAAAGTGAACGAGCAAACCCCACAGATAGCCAAGGAAAGTCACAACCACCAACTATATCTTCCTTTTCCCGTGGCTCAAGGCTCTTGGTATCCATGACATCCAAAAGACGGAAGACCAACCAAACCACACATTCATCATTCTCACCGTCATCTTAGCTGTCTACTTCTTCTTCATCTTCGAGCGGGTGATGTCGCTGTGTCTTAAAGAAAAACCGTACGGACACGGCCATGTGCATTCCCGGCCTCGGCGAGAGGCAAGTCTGCATTTATATTGAAAGAAAAACCTTTCGAACATAATTTCACCCCAGTCAAAGATCTTTATTACCATCTGCTAATCTGGATTTAATAGTATTAGGTGAAACAATTAACGAAAGGGCATTTTCGTACATGTTAATTGTCTAGCTTCCTACTTTTTCAGAGCAAATTTAAATGAAGGATCAATGTAGTAGTTGTAATATTAGGCCTACGTTACCAAGCAATTTGTGTAATCTTTATAATATTGTTAACAAAGTGTCCAAAGCTTTTCTTTCGGTTATGTCGGGCTTTAATGATGAGATATAGCACATCAACATGATCATGGTCAACGAATGGTATTCCATTGCCCAAACAGAGCTATGTGTGTGGGGGTTTTTTTCACAGACTTTCGTTGATGAGAATAGCTGTGACATGCACGCTGATGCAATGATGGCAGTCGCCATGGAGAACCAAGATGACAAGAAGACAAATGAAACTGACGATGGACAGCAAGACGATAAGGAGGCAAGATAGGGGATATATAGATTTGCCACAATGGATGTAAAGTAGTGAAAGTGGAGCTCCTTTGCTACTGTAACCGGCCGCGTGGAAATAACACGTGCCGATTGTTTAAAGGAAAGTTTTTACATGGACAGATAGACAGTTGCCGACACAAAATACATTTACCAGGGCCCTGACGAGGCAACGGGATTTCGAAAGAGGCCTAGTGTTAAGGATAGAACTACCACACTGTTTATTCCATTAATATCCCTCATATTACAATGTCATCCTTCTTAGTCGTTTCTTCTATAAAGGTGGAAGAAGAAATATCCACGGAAAAGAAAATGGACAAAGAAGAGGAAGTTTCCAAAGTCCAAAAACCACAACCAAGAATATTTGGTATGGCTTTCAGTTACATCTTCGGCCAAGAAGGTCAACTTGAAAAACAAAACAAACAAAACTAGAGTTTGTTAAGCGGTTCGTTTACTAGTTTGGTTCGGTAGCGCATACCAGCTTTGTGTCAAGTACAACAGTCGACGTTCTCATTTAGATGTCAAACAGCACGTTCGGTGATACCGACATCAAAGTAACTCAAACACATTATCAAAATAACCCAAACATATTACTTAACCAACAGGTGAATGGGTTCAAGGAACAGACACTGCCGCAAATGAAAAATACCAGTAAAGTAGTGTTTCAGTCAACAAATAACCAAAGTGCAATGGTAAGAAAAAAATAATCGCGAGGCGGCAAATGGAATGTGCCATTCATTCACTCGTTTAGCAGGAGAAAAACTATGGTTTCTTCTTGTAAAGAATATTTAGCTTTTTCCGGGTTTTTCTTTACCCTCGGTAGGTCTGAATATGCTGTCGATCATGGTGTTGATCGGAGACGCAGTTCATAACGTCACCGATGGTATCACCATTGGTGTCTCTTTCGTCAAAGGTCCGTTCGTTGGTGCATCGACAACCATCGCTGTCTTCTTCCACGAGGTTCCGCACGAAGTTGGTAAGCGTCCCCAATCGGCATACATCCCGAGAGCAATGCTTTATCTTGAAAGGTGACTGAAGTTATATTGTCGGTGATCAATTTCAGGTGATTTTGCTGTGATGCTTCGGAATGGTGTTTCATTTCGGAAGGCCATGGTGTGCAGTCTGCTCAGTAATTTAGCAGGATTCGCTGGGCTGTACGCCGGGCTCCTTCTGGGCAGCGAAAACGTGGTTCAGAGGTGGATCTTCGCCGCTACAGCGGGGATGTTCCTCTATATAGCATTAGTCAGCCTGGTAGGTTTCCATATCAAAGCTCAACGTTCATTAACATGAATGTGCTCACATATTCCAAACTGAATGTCAAGAAAATGGATAACAGTCCACGTACGGATAGCATTAGCAAACAATATCCTAAAATAAAATTGAGTGCACTTATGATGACATTGCGCGTCTGGTGAGCCAGTAAATTGGCACATGTACAAGCCACCCTCAAGACCTCAGTATAGATCAAATTCTTACGTTCCTAATTGCTGCTTCACAACTTCACAGGTTCCAGAGATGAACCAACAGGCAGAGGAGGCTGATCACAAGCCCTGGAGGGTTTTCCTCAGGCATAACATCGGTCTACTACTGGGTTGGGCCATCATGTTGGCTCTTGGGGTATTCGAGTAGAACACTGAGAATTTATGTTAGACGTGCATTAGGCTGAACAAGTACTTGACGAAGTAGACCATTTTAACAGAGCTGATTGAGGTTAAAGCGGCATTCTTTTCAAACTGAATGACAACAGAGTTCGTGCATTCCGGTTTACAGTGAAAGAAATCGCTTATTGTTTTAGTACTAGATTCTAAACATCTCGTTGGATTCATTTCGTCCAGAATGGACGGGAAAGTGTAAATGCAACGACTCGAGAAGAAGTCGAAAATGGGAAAACTATTGTTTGTACACACAAAGGCATCGAGGGAGAAGGGGGCAAGTGAAAATAAAAAAGAAAAAAATTGAAAAAAGCGACAGAAATGAGCGATGAAAGAGGATTAAAATCGCCAATTTGCTTGAAAAAAATATAATATATATATATATAAAATATAATAATATTCCAGCCGTCGATTATTCAAGTCGCGAGTGCTTCCCGTTTTCGAAATTTCCCTCCTGAAAAAAGATGGTTTGCCTTCCCCCTGGCAAATCCTGGCGACGCCCATGTGTACATACATTATTAAGAAAGAATTCAGAATGAGTTGCTCTGATCACATTTTCCTGTTTAATGACTTACAACTGTCTGGCCTTCCTGAGGGAACGGGAGAGGGCACTTTGTAAGCAACAACTTAACTTTGGACCAAAGATCGTATAGCGCCGCCAAGCGGCGCAAGATGGAGACCTTCACCGTGAATACACGTAAAACGTTGTAATCGCATAGGCATCATTTGCGACAGGCATCATAGGCATCATAAGCGATACGCCTGCGCAACGCACATTAAAGCGCAGATGCCGCGGCAGACACGTACACCTGGTGGGCCTGCGCATTACCGTGAACCGCGCAGGGGTATCGCTTGTTCAAATGGCGCCCACGGCGATTACACCTTTGGGCAAAGTTATCTATCTTGCGCCTTCGGCGCTATACTCTCTTTGCTTTGGACCGATACTGCTGACCGATATGCACACTTGCTGGTTGGCGCGTGCTGTTTCTTGTTTATTCAGTCACCGAGTCTTTAAAGAACAACTCTAAGGAAACATGTTTCTATGAGTTTATCTGTTCAATAAATATGGAAGCATCCACATCGAACGCAATGTCATTTGTCTTCAGAGCTCATGTACATGTATAACAAGCTATGAACATGTTGAATATAGATTTGTTTTCCTTTAGTTGCTCTTTAAGGACACTTTTTGGACAAAGGACTCACTAAATGGCTTCCTGCTGATTTCAGAAGCGTGTCTTTTTTTAAGTTTAAATACATTTTGTAATTAAAATACCGAGTTTGTAATGAAAACGAAAAAGGATTATTTCAATATCAAGCGAACTATCGACAAAATTTATTTCATTCTTTTTAATAAAGTCTTTTACATTCGTTTTTGGATTATACCTTGAGAAATTACGACGGATTACATTTCATTTATAACATCGAACACAAATTAAACTGGGCGTTTAATTGTCTAATTGACGTATACAATTTTATATTATGTTTATAAACAAGAATATAATACAACTACTCGTAAGAGGTTTTTACAATAAATTTCCTTACAGCATTTTCCGCAAAGCCTTTACTGTTTTTTCAGTGAGGATGTTTTTTAGAAAAC